ATAATCAATACATCAAACTTTTCTTCTAATATGAATTTAACTATTACTTGGCCAACAATGTACACATTACTAATATACAACCACGTGTCTCAATAGACTTTTTCTTGAATTTATAATGAAGTTTATGTTTCATTAGAAATTGGATACCAAACATGGAAAAATTTCAGTACAAATATAAATTTACAATACATAGAACTCGTTATATTTAACGAGTGTAGTGTTAAATTGTTCTTTTTCATTTTTGATATAAATATAAATAAGTAATTTTATTGCAAATTTATAAATTTTTAAAATTACTCATCGTTTGTATAACTCCAAATTTCACTTTGTCTTATATACTATTTTAACAAGGGAGACACGAATCGAGATCTTATATAAAATTTGTTCCGCCCTCGATTTATCTCCTAACACAGCTTTAAACACTTCACAATCGGATTAGGTGCTTTCACATATATTGTATATATATACACATCAATAATCTAGATTTCCCGTCTTACTTTCTACGTTTGTATTTGTGTGACTCTTTCTCCATCATAAATGTTATATAATACAAGTGAGTACCTTTATACTTTAAAGGTATGTGGTTGGCTCTTTATTTTTATGCAAAATTCATTGTCACGTAAGAATCATTTTCTTAACCACAATATCGTAAAATTATATATCCTTCAAGATGGTTAAAACTGTAATAAATAATTAACGATAATTAATTATCCCCTTATTTCAGTTATTGCCTTTTCAATTATTTTTCCTATTTTATAATTACATATATATACTTTCTTTAATAATTGATTTTCTTTTCCAATCATTTTTTAAATAATAAATAAGAAAAATTTTTAGAAATGAAATATGCCACATAGTTAATTCACAGGTATTTCTATTTAATTAATATAAAAAATTACTTTTATAAATAGAATTCCATATTAATTGCTGTATGGGTGATAGCCTCGTTGGTTATTATAATTATCAGAATTATTTCTTGGATTATTTTGAAAAACTCCAGACTTTCGATAAAAAAATTTCTTAGTGAATTAACTGGACCAGCCTGATCAAAGTTTTCTAATAAATCTAATAAATTATTTATATCTTTAATACCTCTAACAATAATAGCTATTTGCATATCTTCTTTAGTTTATAATAATTTCATTTTCTGAAGGTGGTGGAATTAAATCTTTGGCTTTATTTATAATTTTAATCGCGTATGCCGATATTAATAATTTACCATTTGGATTATAACTACAAAATTGTAAATGTGTGCTAATTTTAAAACAAATTTCTTCATTCCATTAAAGATTAATAAATTTTTCTTTAAAATTATTATAATTATCATTCTCTGTTCTGCTGTATTCAAAGCATGACACCCAATTCAGAATATCTGATTGATATTTGTCTGAAAACTAATTTAAAGAAATCACTTCTCTCAATAATTCATTAGGGACACGCATGAATTGATTGAAGTTTGAAATCAAATCACTAATGATATAACTTTGTTTGCCTTCATTTAAATTTCTACTGGTGTAATTTATATCTTAATGAAACATCTTAAATACGCGGGTCTGAATAAACTTTCATTAACTCACTTCTTTATGTGTTTGCCTTTTTTTGTTAATTGCTGGGAAGATGATATGGTTTTTATCTTGTCAATAATTAAATATAAATGCTTTAGTGCAATTATAGAAGCAGCAAAGATTACATTATCTTCTTAAGAATTGCTAGACCTTTCTCAAGAGTGAGATTTAAAGAGATTTATTTTCTATAGGATCGCTGACGAAATTTTCACCTAATTTGAACATATCAATTGTAGATCCACTCATTAAAACAAATTAATTTGTAAATGTAGTGAGATGTGTAAAAAGATCTCTTTAATTAAATGCAGTTTAATATACGATTCGTAAAAACATGAAGATGTGTAACTATAAATGAAATAAAATGAATTATTTTTGCAAAATTGCATTTTTAATTTCTTTTCATTAAATTATTACTAAGTTGAAATATATTCTTCATGATGACAAAACTCTAGACCACTCAAGTTTCATATTAGGAAGCGTTTAATTTATAATTTCTGCTTCCAGCTTTGTTTCTACTTGTTCGCTTTAACTTCCGTATCTTTAGACTAGAATTTCGCCTTCTTTGTTTTCTACAGTACTTTGACCCAGCCTACTTGAATACTCACTTCCGGAATGCTTGTAGTAATGCGCAAATGCTACTGAACATTCTTCGTTTCGTTAAAAATTTATCTAATTACATCATATTTTTCAATGTAGAATTGTAAAAAAATTATATTATTTCTTTATTATTTTTATTAATTATTAAATTAATTAAATTATTGTGTTCCTTTTGAAGTTTATCTATAGAATAAATAACAAAGCTAGAAATCTGCTGTTTATTGCACTAAAAAAGAGCATCTTTTTTTTGTATCTGAATCACCAAAAAATTGAAAATATCGATTTTTTAAATATAATCTCTGTTATTTCATAAAAACTTTCGTTATATTTGTGGTTTGCCGTAGATCACATTTACGTCCATTCGCCTTGTCATGCACTCTTATTTAATCAATTTTCCGGTTTATCTTACATAAATTGAAATTTAATAGAGATAACTTATTTGCTCTACGAATATAAAACGCTTTTTAGACTCTATATAGTAATTTTGCGGTTACGCACCAGTTAGAACTTATTCTTTTTCAATGTGCGTGAAATTTAAATGTCAGTGATACCTTTGGAATTTCATGTTACATATATGTTTACTGATGATAACCATAAAATAATAAGTATAACATTTATAATAATAAAGAAGGTAGATATATAGTGATTTAAATTATTTTTCTATTAAGTCCATACAAAAGCAGTATTATTGGCATCCTACGCAGCACAAGAAATTTTCTGAACATCCGAGTATCAAGTAAACCTCGGATTCGTAATTAATGGGATAATTTAGTTTATATTCTAAATTTGACGATAATTAATTAAGGCTCATCTAGATTTCGTAATGTTAAAATTATAAAAATATTAAACCGATAATGAAGATTGATATGAAAATTGTATGCTGAATTTTGTTTATGGGTCTCGACAATTGTGCTACTCTCTGAAAACAAATTACATTTCTGTCTTTTCAATTACATTAGGAAATTTTACATGCTAAAGCTGTCATGTCCGCATGTCTTGTGTGTCATCACTGAATCTGTCTATGCGACTAGACGCCCTCATACTTCATAATCGATTGTATTCACACTGAGTCACGATTGTCTGGTTTGCATATTTTCTCATACTTGTTTATAAGTTTGTCGAGAATGCAACTATAAACAGTATTCTTGCCATACGTATTTACTTATCTCTCTCTCTCTATTCTTTATTTTGTTTTCTGGACCCATATTTGCTTTTACATATATTCCATCAGTCTAAATACAATTATTGCTCCCAGTCAGCAGCACGCGTTGATGTCTTTAATAGAAAGCTATTCGCGTCGTGAGTATGAATAATTAATAGCTACTCGAAATGCCAATAGCAAAATGGGATTACAAGTAGTGTGTAATTAAGAGCCTTGCGACTGTGAGGAAAATTTATAAATTACGATTATTTCACAAGTCAAGTGAACGAGAGTTGAAATATTAACACATGGAAAATAATTGTTAATCGCATATATATGTACATCATTGGGATAACATTATTTGAGCTGAAGTGTTGCAAGGCGATCATAGATCCTAATTCTGCAATATGCCACATATCGTGCTAGGTACTTGATAGAAACTTTATTAGGAGTCACAAGAAATACAACTATACTATAAGACGTTACTTTATGAAACACAAAGAAGGTGTTTATGTATAACGTGCAAAGATAAGCAATTTACAAAGTCTACTACATTTTATGCATGTCATATATTTTTATAAATTAAATTTACAAAGTTTATACGATCCTAAGCAAAATTTTTGTGTATTTGAAATGTTCAACAATATAATAATAATTAATTTTTGGGTTCGAGAATCCTCTTTATCTTTTTCCTCCCATCCAATTCACCTTTCACCCTGCCGATTTTCAATTAAAATCCATCTTACTCTAGCATCTACTACCTATTTCTCTTACTTTTCACTCAATCCTCTTCAACACTTTCCAGGCTAATAAAGTCGCGAGATGAATTTTGAGCGGTAAATGAAAGACGCGCCATCCACGCGTCTGCAAAGTCAATTGGTGAGGTTTAATTATAGGAAACGTCAATGATTCGTCCCACGTGTGAAGACCGCATTACATAAAGAATAGAGCATTTATGTATTCACATTGTGATCCTTAAAAATAAATGTCAAAATTACATTCAATTTTAATGATTACACATTAAATTTAAGTGCATTGTGACATCATCGATTGAAAATCAAAAGTTCTTCCCGAAATTCACTTTTTAGAATTACGTCTTTGATTTGTTTTTAGTAAAAACATATTTTGATAATAAAAGTAAAAATTATTAAAGTATAAAAAATCTAAACAAAGAACAACATCCATATAGTGGAAACTAATACTTACAGACTTACATAATAAAAGTTAAAAACAATGTCAAATAAATTTCAATGCTTTCATGAAACTTGTAACGTAATCTAGAGATTAATGATTGCAAGAATGACTTTAAGGCGCGTGTAAGTGTGAACTTGGTATAAAACAAGCATCCGATTCCCCTTTTGATTTATTTGCAATTCCGCCATACATAAAGTGTTTACATTCACGTCGGGAAACACCTGAGTTTTGACATGAAAACACAGTTTCCAGATTCGAGTATACGTGCTCCTTCGCTTCGTTACACCCAGCGGATGTTAACTTGGATTAATTAACAATCGCTGATTATTTATCATTTAAACAAACAAAAAAAAAAAAGAAAAGTCCTCCTCAATACATTATCTTTTTTCGCATCCGTTGCATTGTCAATGGCATTATATCGAAATTTTCAATAGTAAAATTTAACGACCAAAATCACAATTCAACTGTTTGAAAAAAATGAAAAAAGATTTAAAAGATCTTACCGTGAAGCAAAAATCCATGCAGCGCGAGGTTCATGGCTTTAGGATGATCAACTCTTTCCTCCTGTAAATAAAATATTTAAAAGTTTTCAGTAAATTCAATATAAAAAATAGATAAATTATATTTAATATAATAAACATTCTAATAGTTTCAAATTGTCATCTTAAAACTAGAATATTTTTCTTTATATAAGATTATTATTAATATATTCATTTTGCCAATTTAACAAAATTCTATATTTGCTATTCGTAATCGGCATTTTTACACTTAAGATCAATCACTTTTTCATTTATGAAACCAACTCGAATCAATAAACGTAAACCGTAAGTCTCAATTCGGTTTAGACGCGAAACCGAATTGAGCTTCAATCACTGCCAATTCGATTTTGGTGCACGTCAACTTCATATACGAAATTTTGTAAAATTACTGTTACTCTGCCCAATTTTATACTCAAGTTGAACTTAGAAGAATCTCTGTGTCTAGTGTTAAAAGTTTCTACGTCAAGAAGAACTCATCCAAGTATTCAAGGCTTTGATTTTTCCATAATATTATAATAAATATAATATGCATCAGAAAAAATAATCAATACTCATTCGTAATGTATCGTTCTTCATCTTATGGTGATAAACTGATTTATGGAGAATTTAAGACATGTTAAAATTATTAATGTCATTGCTATGTGAATCTGGTAGTCATGTTGCGTAGGTGCAGTATGGCTTATTGTTTTTGATAAAGAGGCATGTATAGGATCACACATTACCGTGATTTCTATAAGACGCATGTGGGGGTAACGTGTGGGTCACGACCTTCGATCAATCTATTGAATTTAATTGACGCTATAGACTATGTCATCTTATGCGAAAATAATCCCTATTTACATATTGATTTCATTAATCAAATCCTAATGAGAATTGTTTAGTACTGTTAATATATAACATCACTGTATAAAAATTATCTTATTCGTTATCATTATATACTTTAAATCAGAGTTAGATTAAGAAAAAGTGCATATAAAGTATAGTGTTTGTAATGGTGAAATCCTTTACGAGAAATTCATTAAAAGATCCCACCACGCATTTTAGGAGGCGTTATGAAGTAATAACTAAGATGATTCATAATTGACAGTTGTCATTTCACTTTAAAAGGATGGAATTATCAAGTTCTCATCAGTAACAAGTAATCAGTATAAATTGATAGGATCTTTTCTATAAATAATTATTTCTTTTATTTATTTTAATTTTTATTCTTTACATAAATAATTTCTTAAATAGTTAAATAAAATTAATCTCGAAAATATTTCGAAGCTATTGGATGCAAATCCAGGCGTGTGATACTTCGAACCGAAATGAAAATTTTCATCTGCAAAGATAATGTGAATCGTAATTTAACCTAGGTTTTTTCATTGTATCTACAACAATATTTGTGAATAAATATAAGTATAGTTAAGAATTTCTTCATTTTCTAATGCTTTCCATTTTATATAATGGATCCTTATATATACATTTTAATTAGATACAGGTGCTTCATATGTTTATAACATACTTTTTAAAATATGTTCCGTGTTAATTGTGAATTTAATAGTTCACAGTTCTTTTCTAACAAGAAACTTATTTCATAGTAAAAACCCGGGCTCAAAATGATTCTGCCAGCAGGATCATTTTGATCCGCAGCAAAAATGAGTCAAGTGGCGCCACGTTCTATGTCTTTTAGCATTGGCCCATTTTTGCTGCAGATCAAAATGAGCCCAGGTTTTTACTGTGTTATTGCACTTTATTCGAATGGAGACTATGAATATTTTTTATATTATAATATCAAATCTATTAATTCTAAAAGCAGATCATTTCTATTTTACGGAAACTAGAAAAATTGATGAGGGGCTGCTCAGAGCCCTAGCTTAATAGGTCAATTTCTTCGCGGAATGCATAATACTGAAATCGTTATAAACTAACAGCACGAGTAGAAATATAATCAAAGATAATTGATAAAATTATTCTAAAACTTAATAGATTTGGAAAATGGGTAATGAAATTCTGTTTAATGAGCGAGGGAGAGTAGAAGGTGAAAATAAATCTGCATTTTCACCTCTGAACGCCCTTGCGTACATATGCATACATGTACACATAACGTTGCCGATTGCGACCCAGATCTTTGCAGGGAAATACAGCTCGGTTAAGGCTACAACCTCATCGCCTCTCCCCTCGTAACTCATTGTCAGATGCGCTTAGAGAAAGCCTTCGTGAATATATTGCTTCTTGTTACGCGGTGCGAATACCCGTAATTTCAAATAGATTCTCAATAATATCGTCGACTAACTATGCTGAGAAAGCGAAAGACAATTTTCTTTTCTCCGTTTCTCTCTTTTTCAACTTCTTTAATTTTACACTTATTATTATTATATTATTGACGATTTTAAGGTCACTACGCACTACTGCTTCGAAACATCAACAACAAACTTTTACTGATAAAAAATAAATAATTTTGTAAAAATTATTAGTTCTGATTTTGGAACCAGCAGGTCATCATCATCATCATCTTCACTGAGAAAAAGAATTATTTGTTTCAAATATAAAGATCAGTTTAAAAGTTTTTGTTTAACCCAACATAGTTTTTATGTTTAATTTTAATATATAGAAAATATTTTCTACTTTGGCTTAAAATTATTATTTGTTTGATTCAAACATATTTTCTGTTTGGCTTAAACTGAAAATATGTTTAAAATTTTTATGTTTGATTTAAACATAAAAATTTATTATGAATAAATTGAAATCAACCATAATTTATGTTTAAATTAAATATATTTTCACATTGAATCAACCAGAGAATATATTTAATTTAAACATAAATATGTTTGACTGTATAACAAAGCTATTTTAAGTTTGGGTTAAACATATTATGTTTGAATCAAACATATTGTTTTCTCAGTGTTCCCATACAAAATTTTTTACAAGTATTGTTACTCTGCTCGATTTCAAATTCGACTTATGATTCAACGATTATCCTGTCACAATATTTGGAAAATCATCTTTTCTTTCCTTTTCAAAAGAATCTAATTATTTAGGGTTTCAGCACGGTTTATTGAACTCCAGACCTGTGGTCATCATCTGGGCTCGTCAATCTTCCTGAGCGCTTATAAATCGATGTCATTTTTACAAACTTAAATTTGACAAAACGTTTCATTTAGCAAATAAATCATCATTGAATTATGAATAGATTATTATACGATAAATTTCAACTTCTAATGTGTATCATTTTGTAATAATTCGTTCAGGCATCTTTTTCAAAGTAAGTCGTAAGATTATATGTAAAAATATGATAATTTTTGGTGAGAAATTGATGAAAACTGATGATTTCGTTAAAAGGTAATGATCTGAGTTTAAGGAATATGATGAAATTAGTTTAGAAGCATTTATTATTAATGAATTGTTACAGCTTAAGTCCCATCCGTTATATCATCAATTCGAAACTATGGGGGCGGGGAACTAGCATCAACTATTTAGATGAGGATAAAAAGCCGGTGGATATCACGATTCACTCTCGATGTATATATTATATATATATACCAATAGCAACGGATTGAGCGCATCCCGCACTTTCTAAACGATCGATCGAGTGAGTTAATTCCCTTTCGTGGCAATACACGACTTCAGCGACGGTTTCTCGTCGATCGAAGTTTTGTATTAAATTCGAGACTACTACTCTGCCGGAATCAAGTTACGATCAATTACGTTTTGAATCGATTTAAATCGCGTGCGTTCATTTCCGACAATTGCATTTCGGCAAATTAATCGATAGAATCCAATAGAATTTTGAATTTATCTAAATCAGGGTACTTTTCTCCAAACAGTTTCTATATGGTATTTGACATAAGGACATTGAGTTTTGAATAGGTTTTTATTGGATCCAATAAGCGGTACAAACGCCATCTTAATATAAAGATATGAATCTGATATTACATCATGTCAATATTTAATGCTGAATTATCAAATTAAATTTCACATTTGAAGAAGTTGATTGATTATAAAAAATTTTCTGAATCGAATTCAATCGATTATTTTTAGAAGGGTATTACAGAAAAGTCGCTTCAGGCCTTCCTCATGCCAATATAACATTTCCATATCAGAGTCTAATCTATACCACCATAAAAGATATACATTCTTTTTGATATTTATAGAATTATTTTTTAAAACATTATTATTTTTAGTGAGAAGACAAAAAAAAATTTGTAAGGTGGAAAAAGTGAAATGTCTTTTTTATATAATTTTCAATAGTCTCGCGCTTATAAAACAATTCCATTTTTCGATCTCGATACTCAAGCATTGAAAACGAAGAAGAGTACGTGGTTTGATTGTAATCGATTGAATCTCATGTCTCAGGTAAAATCTCAACATAGACATATTTACGTGAAGAGCACATCGTGGGAATCAACCGATTTAGAGGCACGAACCAGATCGCTTAATGCAATTCTGCGTTGCTTTCACTTTGGGCAAAAGCAACACACAGTTTTAAAAAACGCATTTCCTACGCGAATTGCGTACGCATGACAGTATTATCTCGACGAAAGAGAAATGAATATGTTTAAAAAAAAAATGAAGAAGAGAAATAAAAACAAGGATTATTGTAGACGGTGCGATAAATACAATAAAGACAAAGTACAGAAAAAAAATTACAAGCTTCATGTATAGAGTCGATATCCTTTAAGGTATTCCAAGATGGCGATTCCAGAGGCGAAGGCATTGTTCTATACACGTAATTTGCATATGGTCGTGTATGACTGCAAATCGCAAGCCAGACCATCCGACTCCAAGGCCGAAAAGTCTGACCTTTTGAAGATCTCGAGCTCGAGATTAAGGGATAGTATTCTACTTCTCAAGCACTGAAAAAAGGGATTAGGAATACACTTTTTTCTTGGTCAGAACTTTTTTTTTAAATTCGCTTACGAATATGCATCATGAATTTTATGGGGAAAACATAATATAAAATTTCTAGAAAGTTTAAAAAAATTTCTTTGAAGTTCTTTAATTACTCGATGAAGTTTATAGAATTTTCTTTGAAGTTTTTAGAAT